TGAATGAACAAACGCATGAATTAGTGTTTGCATGGTTGTTTGATGTAATTATTTTCGAACGCGGTATAACTGGCAAAGCTGATAAGAACATGATTTAGATATGGTTTTTATATGATCCTTGAAGGATAATCTCGAGTCAAAAATACATCCTAGGTTTTTTGCATTTTCACAGAATTGTATTTCATTATTATCAATTTTGACTGAATTAATATTAATTTTAGAAAGCTGTTGCCATGTACCGACAGGTAAAAATTGAGTTTTCTCTTGATTCAATTTGCGACAATTTTTTGACATCCATGTACTTATTTTAGTCAAGCATTCAATGACATTTTCAACTTTACTTTTGAACAGTTCTGGTTCACTGCTAACTATTATTTGGATGTCATCAGCGTACGCATGATATGAAAATCTAAAGGATTTTATTAATTCATATACTTCAGCAGTGTACAGTACAAACAGAATAGGTCCCAGGACTGAGCCTTGTGGTACACCAGATGACACTGCTTCAATACCAGATAATTTGTTCCCGAAAAAACTTGCTGAGTTTTGCCAAACAAGTACGAATTGAACCAATTAACTACAACTCCAGTAACTCCATAGTCATATTGTAGGCGATTCATCAGGGTTTGATGGTCTACGCAATCGAAAGCAGCACTCATGTCCAAGAATGTAAGCAACGAAACATATTGTTTATCAATTGCATTAAACAACTCAGACATAACATACAGCATTGCTGTTTCAGTTGAGTGATAACGTTTATATCCAGATTGAAATACTGGTATTAAGCTATTTTTGTGTATATGACTCAGTAGCTGACTGGCAACAACTCGTTCAATAACTTTGGAAACGAAGAAAATGTTTGATATGGGTCTGTAACTTTTCATTTCATTCTATCATCTTTCGTTTTCTTCAACACAGGTGTAATAACTGCGTGCTTACATTTATGCACATGAGTCGGAAAAACATCTAACATACAGGTTTTGGCCGGTAGACCAAGCACAATTTTCTTTATGTCTAGTTCCTCAACGACAGCAAAATTTGTGAGCAGACAATTTTCGGTAAGCATACATCTGTCAAAAGTAGGTTTTTCGTTAATACTAATAGTATGCTTGATCCGATCGGTCTTTTCTTGAAAAAACCCCATAAATTGAGAAGCGGTGATGTCGACATTATCATAAAGTAAGCTATGGTTATTATCTTTACAAAGAATTTTGTTTACTACGTTCCATAGACCCTTTGAATCACCATTACTATCAGCAATCAACGTTTTCCAATAATCATTTCTTTTTATTGAAAATAGTTTGATTTTATTTTTTAAAGATGCAATCCATTCATTTCGACTCACTGATGACAAACAACATCTGTATTTCCTTTCTTTACTTCGACAGTATATTTTAGTTGCTCTACACTCATCATCAAACCATAGAGCCATAAGATCACTTCTATGTATGTATGTTTACCTGTTTGAGTCGGTTGTAATTCTTTTCGCTCCGCGATTTTTCCTAGTTTTGCTAATTTAAATTCGAATATTTCAACTAAATTTGGGTTCATATTATAGAAGAAGTTTTGACGGATATAGTGATATAAGTTTTTTTTGTAAATTAATTTCAGTTAATTTTTGTTTTAATTTATAGGTTTTTCACTTTATTTAAATTTAAATTGTGTTTAATTGACGAATTAAAAAATTGGTATTGTAAGCGATATAGGATTGTTGTTTAGAACCTGTATTGTCAGTATTGCAAGTTATAATAGTTCTGCGTTGTTATTAAGTTTTTACAGACTACAAGACAATAATTCAAACTTACGAGTTTTACGAATTGAAACTCGATATTTATCGTAATAATGTATGGTAAATGTTTGTTTTGTAGTGGTAAAATTTTGCCTAAGGATATCTTACACTGTAGTTTTTGCGATTCAGTTACACACTGCAAGTGTGCAGGAATTTCTGATTCATCATTTAAAGAATTTCAGAATGCCTCTGGTTTTCTGTGGAGTTGTGACAGTTGTCAGGATCAGGTTGAGGCTGTTAAATCCTGTAAGAGTGATATAGTGATATAATTGAGTGATATAGCTGATGATATAAAGAAAATTCAGGACTGCAACAGCACAATCAACGCTCAAATTAAAGATATCAAGGCAAGGGTTGATGAAAGAACAACTGATTGTGATGTTGATGGCAAAATGAGTATACTTCAAGATAATCTTAGTAAGTCATTTGCTGAAGCGTTGAAGGATATGATTGCTAAAAATAATGATATTCTTGTTAATAAAATGGAAGCACTTCAAGTGGATTTGAAAAAGTCATATTCTGATGCTTTGAAAGATGTTGTTGTTGACAAGGTTGTTAATGTTAATGATAAAATGGTGAATATAAATGATGGCATACAATCGTTAAAGAATGAACTTTTGGTAACAAAAGATACTATAAAATCCCTCAGTGAGGCAGAAGAAAGATCTTGCAACATAATAATTTTTAAATTAAAAGAAAGTAATGACCAGAGTTTCAGTGATGGTAAACGACAAGATGTTGAAAGAATTGCCCGTATTTTGCAAACATTAATTAATGATAAAATCGATAAATCAAGTATAATAAAACATTATAGGCTAGGCAAGAAATCGGATAAAATTAGACCATTGTTGGTCCAACTAAATTCTAAAGTCTTAAAAAATTTAATCATGAAAAATTTGTCTAATCTGAAAAAGTTGAATGAAGATTTGAAAAGAATCAGCATCAGTCATGACTTGACAAGGGAGAAACGGGCAGAATATAAAAAGTGGATAGAAATTGCTAAGGAGAAAGAAGCTGCTGAAAAGGAAGATTTTGTATAGAGTGAGGGGGGGGGACCAGGAAACTTAAGAATAATAAGAATAAAAAAAAGGATGTCTTGAATATTACTCGAAGGCTTGGATTTTCTGGTGCTTGTTGTAACATGGCACGGTTACTCAGAAAATATTTCTATAAAATTGGCCATGCCATTTGGTTATCATTTTTTGGATTTTTTGAAACCATACGATCCGTATCATGGTGGCTTAATCATATTTTTTCGATCAAATTTCAAATACAAGAAAATTGACCTTCCATGTTTTTCCACTTTCGAGGTTTTGGCTATCAAATTTTTCATTAATGGTATAGATTGGGTGTTAGTATCTCTATATAGACCAAGTTCACAGCAGGTAAAGACGATATTTTTCCAGGAATTGGTTTTCATGATGGAGCATGTTTCAATTTTGACTACGCGTATTTTGTTAGCTGGTGATTTTAATATACACGTTGAAAGAACTGATGATGCTCACACCATTAGTTTGCTAGAGGTATTTGATATGTTTCAAATGGTAAATAATGTTAATGGGTCGACGCATGATTTGGGGGGAAGTCTTGATTTAATTGTAAGCTCACTAGGATTTCCAGTTCAGGTTTGCAAGATTTTTCCAAGCGGTGTATTATCGGACCATGGTTTGATTCATGCGACTATACCAGTGACGAAAGCTGATCCGGTGAGAACGAAAAAATTAATCAGATCATGGAAAGGAATTGATGAGAAAAAGTTTGTCAAATTAATTACAGAATCCCCTTTGTCAAAGCCATGTGCAAGCAATGATGTTGAAAGGGAATTCAACTTATTTAATAGCGAGCTTAAGACCCTCGTTGATCAAGTTGCTTCTTTACATAAAGTTAGTTTTAGAGTTGATGTATCGGAATCATGGTTTGATGAGGAGTGTCTAGCAATCAAACGGCGTTGCCGAAAGTTGGAAAGAAGATATAAATCAAATCATGATTTGATATATAAAAATGAATGGCGTAATATTCTAAGAGCAAAAAAAGAATTTTTTACTAAAAAACGTAAACAGTATTGGAACAAATTAATAAATGAAAATAACAACTCTAAAAATCTGTGGAAAATATTCAACAAGATCGCGTGTAAAGATAATAAATGTAATGTTTCACATGATTTGACATCAGACCAATTTTTGATTTTTTTTCAAGAGAAAATTAATACGATTAAAGCAACAATTGGAGATTTAACGAAGCAGGCATTTGGAGTTAGTAGAATTAATGGAGATAATTTGTTCACATGTTTTGCTGAAGTTTCAGAGTCTGAAATTAAAACACTTTTACTTAAATCACCAACGAAAACATGCATGTTAGATATTATTCCGACGCATGTCTTGAAGAAATATGTTAATTTGTTCTTTACGTTCATCACAAGTTTTATCAATGCAAGTTTAAAACTTGGTATCTTTCCATCATTTTGTAAACATGCCGTTGTGACTCCTCTATTAAAAAATACTAAAGACAATAAAGAAGATTTAAAAAATTATCGTCCGATATCAAATTTGTGTTTCCTTTCAAAGATTGTTGAACGTGTGGTAGCTAAGCAACTTTTAACGTATTTAGAACTGCACAATCTGATGCCCATCAATCAATCTGGCTATAGGCGTCATCATAGCACAGAAATTGCGTTGCTAAAGATTTTGTCTGACCTCTATGCTTCCATTGATCGCCAGAATGTATCGCTTTTGACCTTTTTGGATATGAGTGCTGCATTTGATTGCGTGGATCACCAAATTTTATTGGATAGACTAAGTAATGATTTTGGAATAACTGGAGTAACAATTGAATGGTTTAAATCATATTTGGTCGGACGAACGCAGGTTGTTCGATTTGGTGATGTTTCATCCAAAGTTGGTTCAATTTCATATGGAGTTCCGCAGGGTTCAGTATTGGGACCGATCCTGTTTATACTGTATATTTCGGAAGTTATGAAGATTATTGTGATGATTTTAAGTGTTATACATATGCCGATGATATCCAGGTTATGTTGACGAGTAAACCAGAATCATTCAAACAGGAGGTTCTAAGACTGGTAATGTGCTTATTTGAGGTTGATACCTGGGTGTAGAACAATGGATTAAAATTGAATCAATGCAAATCTAAGTTTATGCCGGTGGCAACTCGGCAGCAGTTAGCGAAATTTAACATCAGTTCGGTAAATGTCGGTGGCCAAGAGATAGAATTCAGTGAAAGCGTAACAAATTTGGGCTTTATCTTGGATTCAAATCTATCGATGAAACATCACTTGAAAATGCTCTCTTCGTCATGTACATATCAGTTGCAGATTATATCGCATTCGAAGCTATTTAGATAGATCAGCCACACAGACATTGATTCATGCTTTCATTCACTCGCGGTTGGACTATTGTAATAGTCTGTTTCATGGCCTCTCAAAGAAATCAATTAAAGTACTGCAATCCATACAGAATAGAACTGCGAAGGTTATCGTTGGAGGATTGAAGTTTGATCATGTGACTCTAAAAGATCTTCATTGGCTGAATGTGGAAAAACGGATAATATTTAAAATGTGTATCTTGATGTATAAAGCCATGAATGGAATCTTGCCTAGATATTTGTTGGAAATAATCAAGAAAAAATCAGTGACCATAGATGGCATTCGCTTGAGAAGTGATTGCTCAAATTTAATGATAGTAAACAGTGCTCACTTGTGTATTGGTGCACGAGGGATTGCTGTTGCGGGTCCAGTGTTATGGAATGGTCTACCAGAGTCCCTGAAGAAGCCGGAAATGAACATGGATGCTTTCAAGAAGAATCTCAAGACTTATTTGTTTTCGATTTGATTTTTGTTTCGTTATTATGTACACGTACTCAAACAATTGTTTTTTCTTTCGACTATAAAGTAGCGCTTTTGAAATTTTTTCTTTTTTTTAAATTGGCGCCTTATAAATTTTTGAAATAAATAAATAAATAAAATAAATATGCTCGATAGACCGGAGAGGAGCAATTTTGTCAGCAATCTTCATTTCGTTATTTAAAACATCAGATTCACGATTCACATCTCGACTTTGACAAGGCTCATGCAGTGGTGAATTCATAACATGCATGGTCAGTATATTTTCATCAATACGTTTCCATGACCTAGCTAATCTTGAAGTTTTGTTATTACATGCTCGAGTTATCGGTATGTCAACATGTATCAAGCTATTATCTGAGTAAACTCCACAAGAGAATAGCCTGATATTTGTAACATCAAAATTGGGTGAAGTAACTACTAGATCAAGTGTACCACCGAGAACATGTTGACTCATTGATGTAATTTGTTAATTGGAACATTTCACACACTTCAATCAGATTAACAGTATGTCGATCTTTGTTTATTTCAACGTGTATGTTAAAATCACCAATTAACATAACATTCAAACTTAAAATTGTATTACTTTCCAAAACAAATATGAGTTCATCGAAAAATGTAGAACATTTTCAGAGGTTTCTAATGATGATGTTAGAATGGTAGTTAAGAAATCAACGGCAAAATCGTGTCAACAAGATATTATTTCAACTGACATCATTAAGAAACATGTTAATCTGTTTGCTCCTTTTTTGACAAGTTTGGTTAATCTGTCTTTGAGAACTAGTAAATTTCCTGTGGGGTGTAAACATGCAATTGTGCGTCCTCTTTTGAAGAAGAATTATCTCGATCCTGGTGAAGTCAGCAGCTACAGACCAGTTTCTAATCTCTGTTTTACCTCTAAGCTTATTGAACGGTTGGTTACTAAACAGATACTAAATCACTTAAAGAGTAACAATTGGTTCTTGGCCCGTTGTGGTTTCTGCTCTATACGTTAGAGGTATATAACGTAGTTGATTCATTTGGGTTGACAAGTCATGCTTTTGCGGACGATATTCAAATAATAGTTAATAGTACAATAAATTCATTCCCGTTGGAAATGAAAAAATTTGTAGGATGCTTGTCAGCTGTTGATTTATGGATGTCGCAAAATGGCTTGAAATTAAACCGAAATAAAACTAAACTTTTGCCGGTGGGAATATGACAGCAGTTGTCAAAATTGAAGATAAACTCGATCACAGTTGATGAAGAGACGATTTTATTTTGTAACAATGTGACTAATCTGGATGTGATTTTTGATTCGAATCTAACAATGAAGCACCATAACAAGAGGGTTTCAAGAGATTGCATGTATCAGATTAGAAGATTGGATCAAATTCGTGGATCATTGAACGTCTCTACGCTTCAGACGCTGGTTTATGCATTTGTTCACTCGAGAGTTGATTACTGCAACAGTTTGTATTATGGATTGCCGGACAAGTCCATTAGTGTGTTGCAGTCTTTGCAAAATCGTGCGGCTAGGGTTGTGGTTGGCTGTCGATGGGATGATCATCTGACACCTATACTTAAAGATTTGCACTGGCTAACTGTTGATAAGAGAATAATTTACAAAATTTCTATTTTGATGTATAAGGTACTCACAGGTAGTGATCCAAAGTATCTGCAGGATAAGATCAACAGTGATTTGCCAAGTCCGACCGGGACTTATCTAAGATCATTTGATATGAATCGGTTGAGGATCCCTGCTACAAATTTGTGTATTGGTTCACAAAGCTTTGCTGTTTCAGAACCGATTGTCTGGAATGGTCTGCCGGCTTCGCTCAGGGACATTGGGTTGAACATGACATGCTTCAGAAAGAAACTCAAAACCTTTTTGTTTTCGTTACAGTGATATCTTAATTTTTGGAACTGTTCTATAATGTATTTTTGTGATTGTGTTGAATTGTTACAGTGTTTTTGCAGCCAGACAATTATTTCTACGTTTAAGTGAGGACATGTTTAATTTTATGTTTAATTTTGTGTTATTTTATATTTTGATGGCGCTTTTGAATTTTAACTAACTAGCGCTTGATAAATCTTTTGATAATATATATATATATATATATATATATATATATATATATATATATATATCTGGTTCTGAATGGTTCTTAATGCCGGGGGTGGTGATGGGGATAAGCTCCCATCATCTATAAAATGCTCCCATATGGCAAGCGTCTCAAAGAGCCTCTGACAACCAAGCCCAACTCCTGGCCTTCAAGCGGGAGAACTGTTTAAACTAACAGGAGAAGGGGCGAAGACGAATAACTGGCGCCATAACCTGTTGCTTCGGGCAGGTGAAGCTCGTTAGTCTTGGTCGGCTATTTACCTAGGAGAAGGAAAACTCTGACTTCAAACCTCTGCTGCCTTGCGGCATACCTGTTCATGGGAAAGACTATGGGAGCAAATCCAGACAGAAAACCACACTCCACCACCTGAGTTGCGGTCCAGTAATATCAGGTGCCGGTCCAAAGTCCGGATAGAAAAGAATGGTTGACAAGAGCTTGCTACACTGTCGTAAAAACGCTAATAACACGATGGTAGTCCAAAAAAAGTATGCACATACCGGCTCGGACGTCGCCCGGGTGAACAAGGTCCACGCTGCAGTTTTGGGGACTAGAGGCTGCAATGTAAAATATGCTACTGAGTCCCAGAAAGATAGACTGAAGATGGGGTTGACAGTTGGAGTTTAAAATGTCAGGTCATTGTGGCAGACAGGGGCTTACGCGTTGATGAAGAAAAAACTTGAACGATTCAGATATGATGTGGTTGGTCTGTGTGAGGTCCGATGGACAAGAGGTGGAGAAATGGAAGGTGGGAAGATATTATGGTCTGGAACATAGAGGGAGCACGTCTATGGAGTTGGAATGGTTATTGGCGAAAAAGCAAAAAAGCACTGTTGGAGTACAATCCAGTGAATGAAAGAATGATGTATGCGAGGTTTAAGGGATACCCGAGAGACATTGATGTGGTAGTGATCTATGCTCCAACAATGGATCACTCGTATGCAGAAATCGAGGCATTCTACGATCAACTGAAGCAAACATTGAATGTACTGCCAAAGAAAGATGTTAAGATAATCACCGGAGATTGGAACGCAAAGATCGGAAGAGACAATATTGGTTTTGAAGAAGTCATGGGAAAATACGGTATAGGAAACAGAAATAATAGAGGAGAAAGACTGCTGGAATTTGCAAAGGACCAAAAAATGTATATAACAAATACAAAAACACAAAATACAAAAAAATGGACATGGGAATCACCAGATGGAAAAACAACGAACATGATAGATTTGATTTTGATAGGACAGAAATGGTTGAAATTTGTAACTCAGTGCCGTGCTTTTCCAAGTGCAGAGATTGGATCAGATCATCGTCTAGTGTTATGCAACGTCAAGATGAAAATAACGAAGAGGCTAAAGTCAGGCGAAAATATCAAAAGAGTGAAATATAGCACAGAAATGATAAAAGAGAAGTTGAAAGACATCAGAAATGTAATAGAAAACAAATTGGATACAAAAACAAAGTACGATATGAAAACAAGAGTCAGTAACTTGGAGAAAGTGCTTAAGACTGCAGCCGAAAAATGCGAAGTAGGGAAAAACATAAAACCCTGGATAAGTGATGAAACTTGGAAACTCGTAGAGGAAAGAAGACAGCTGAAAGCAACAAAAAGACAAAACAACGAAAATGAGATGAAATATAAACAACTGTGTTGCAAAATAAAGAAAAGTGCCAGAGCAGATAAAAGAAGATGGATAAACGATAGATGCGAAAAGGTAGAAGCACTAGTTGGACAAAACAAAACAAGAAAGGCGTATCAGCTAGTCAGACAGTTAAAAAGAAAACTGAAGAATACGTCAAGGATTATTAAAGACAAGGATGGAAATGTTCTAACTGAAGGCCAACAAATCAAAGATAGATGGTCGGAATATATCAAAGACCTGTTCACAGATAAAAACACGTATACAAAGGAGGTGTTACAGGCTTTAAAAGAAAGAAAAGTAGTCAATGAGGAAGAAACGGAAAAAACATTGGAGGAAGTAATAAAAGCAATGAAGAAAAGGAGGAACAACAAGAGCACAGGGAGAGACGGAATTCCCATAAAGCTGATCAAAGCGGGAGGACCAATTGTATGTCATGTGATTCACAAAATCAGTTAAGAAATCTGGGACAGTGGAAAATGGCCAGAAGATTGGTGTAAATCAATCTTGATCATGTTGCCAAAAAAAGGAGACCTGAAAGACTGCAACAACTACAGATCAATAGCACTGATCCCTCATATGTGCAAGATTATGCTGACGATCTTGAAAGAACGATTAGAGAAAGACATAGAGCAGCATTTAGGAAAGGAGCAGGCAGGTTTCAGAAAGGACAGAAATACAGTCCAGCAAATCCTGATGTTAAGACTATTGTTAGAAGATACAGGAAGCAGAGGTCAAACAACTTTTCGTTGTTTTGTGGATTTTAAGAAGGCGTTTGATTCAGTCTGGCACGAAGGTTTGTGGGCAACTTTGGAAAGTATGGGAGTGTCAACAAAAATGGTAAGGGTGCTGAAAGGGCTTTATAAGGAGTCAACAATGGCGGTAAAGGTAGGTACAGAGCTGGGAGACTGGATCAAAGCGAACATAGGAAGTAGACAAGGAGATCCAATATCACCATTACTGTTCTTAGCACTGTTGGAAAGAGCCTTGGAAAAAATGGAGAATGCAGATATTGAAGGAATCGACATTGGAGGCAGAGTGATAAGGAACCTCAGGTTTGCAGATGATATAGATCTGCTAGCATCTAGTGCAGAGGATCTACAGAAACTGATCGAGTTGACGTATGATGGTGGAAGAAACCATGGACTACACATCAATAGAAAAACGGTAATGTATCTGCAAAAGCAAAATTAAAGATCGTAGAAGCGTGTGTGTTTTCTACATTGATGTATGCATGTGAGGCTTGGACGTTGAAGAAAAAAGACAAAGACAAACTGGAAGCATTCGAGATGCATTGTTATAGAAAGTTGCTGGGAATCAGTTGGAGACAAAAGATAAGAAACGATGCCATAAGAGAACAACTTGGAAGACAAAAAACTGTGTATGAAAGTGTCAAGGAAAGAAAGCTGGGTATCTTTGGGCACATCTGCAGAATGACAGACGGCAGACTGATCAAAAAAGTACTGATGAAAAAGAGGGACTGGAAGAAAAAAGTGGGAAGACCTGTGAGGAAGTGGATGGATGATATCACGGAATGGACGGGGGTTGGAACATTGGGCTCAATGAAGATGGCGAGGGAAAGAAAAGGATTTTGGAGAGATAGAAGAATACCATCGGCCTCAACGGTTCCTTAAGGGATTACAGAGGATCATTGAATGAAAAATGAATATATATATATATTTATATATTTTGTACAATATTTTATAAATTTTACCGAATGTTTGGCGTTAATATGTTTGTAGTTCGTTTTTTCTCACTAAAGTTTTTTGGAGAACGTTTAGTTTATTAAAATTCAAATCAAACTTATTTTTCGAATTCATGCAGCAAATAAGGCCATATTTCGATTCCGAATGAATCGTCATCAGTGCAAGTTGATTTATATAGGGAATTATTGACTTTGTGAAAATGAACTTAGATAGAAATTAGGTGTCAGATTTCTTTATTAGCTGGTCCATTTTCGTTGTTTTTCTATTCTGAATCGATAGCATCATATTCTTCTTTGTCATTATTTACAATGCTAGTTTTTATTACTTCTTTGTTTTCATTGTTGGTTAAGCGCCGGGTTGGGAGTGAGGTTGTCATTTTTTGTTGTATATTTATTTTTGGTTTATTGATGTCAATTAGGACTGCTTCTGCAATTTTAAGATGCGTGTAGTTGGTGTTCTGGTATATTACTTTGATGTTGCTGTCGAGGATTTCACGGCTTATAGTGATTGAGGGTGTTGAGTCCAAATGAGATTTGATAGCACCCCTCTGTTTATGCATCGTACGCCTTCTAGTCAGTGAGGTAATCCCGATATATGAGTCATGAGTCATATATGAGTTATCTCTAAGACTAAATAATTGTAGTAACGTCTCACCTAATACTGAAAAATAATTGTAGTAACGTCATCAATTGATATATGATGACAGAAATTGTGTGATAACATGTGATAACATGTTCCTCATGTAATACGTTTGGTTGCCGGTGAAAGAAACTGTCGTTGCTGGTCCGATAGTTTAGAATGGCTTGCCGCCGTCACTTCGTCTGCCCAGAATCTTGTTTCCTGTTTTCTGCAAGGAATTGAAACATTTTTTGTTCAAGCACCATTTTATTTCACGTAATTAAAGTGGTGTTTTTGCTAAAGATAGGTTCTTTAAATTAATTTTCTTTTTTTCTTTTGATTGGATACCATTATGTTAATGTCAATTGCCAATTTAATTTTTATTATTATGGTTTAACTTTAAGGTAATTATGAGAGGTTGTTTTGTTTGTAACTGACAGCTACTCATACTATATGATTTTTTATTTGTACTTACTGTTGGCGCTTTTAAGATTTATTTAAAAAGCGGTTTATAAATTTTCAAATAATAATAATATATATTAATGGTAACTATTAATTTTTCTTTTTTTCAATTTTCTCAATGCATTAGCTACTACTACTAACATTAACAAAATTGCAGAGGAAAAAAATGAACTTCAACAACTACAGACAGATTTCTTTCCCTTTCTCTCTATCCATAATTCTTGAAAAATAGTTTTGAGGGATTGACCTCATTTTTTAAAAACGCAAACTACATAGTTTGTGGAAATTGATACCTGTTTCGTAATTATTGTACCAGCTAGTCATTGTTGACCACTTATTAAACAACACGATTAATATAAAGTTTTCAATAGAAATTTACCAAGACATTTCAAAAGTTTTTAATGTGGAAAAGTTTATGGTTGAAATATATGATGACAATAATACCAAATGTACAAATAATGTTGTTTTTGAGATTGTGAAGTGATTATGAGTATGAGGTCAAAAAAGTAGCAATATTTTTTGAAAAAACGTTGAATTGTAATATTTCTTCAGACTGATATGTTTTTACCAAATTTTTTCCATTTTAAAATAATTTAAATTAGCATAATTTTTTCTTTTCAGACTGGACACTGGGCGCAATAATTTATGAACTTAAATTATTTACAAAATGCCATTATGGAATTTCTTATTTAACTAACGACGAGAACAAGCTTGCAGCATCAATCAACGTTGTAGTACTGATTTTATTTTTTACCTTTCAAGCTCAGTCGTTTGATTGATTGAGCGAGCGTTGGAACGGAAAATAGAAAATGAAATTAAAAAATATCAAAGTCGCTATTCCTTCTAGCTTTTAAAAGCATTTCAAATTGATATATATTGTTTTTTCTCGTTCTTTCAAATCGTTTGATATAAAAAATTGAATAAAACAAATTTATTAAATCTTATTAAAAATGGGTTGGCAGTTTTATTTTAAAAAATCAAACAAAATTTAGTACATTATTTTACTATTTGCATTTCAAATGTTTTGCCTGCACCCAATCCTGCTGCACTTGAACCCGCTTACTTGGTCACGGCTACACCTATTCCTGAACTCTATTTTTTGTTATTGTAAGTATTTATGGCATTGTATATTATTATTATATTATTATTATTATTATTATTATTATAACAACATACCAACGTCTCCGTCATTTCCGATTGTGGAAACAACAAAAACTCATCAAAAACCACTCTACTGCGCGTCAAACCACCTAAAACGTCAACCCAAAGGTTTGAGGCTAATCACTAACGCCTACTTTCAACTATAACAACAATTACTTTCAAAGTTTAATAATATTTACCACTTTTCGTACGCATTTCATCAAATTATTTACAGTTACTTTGCTTTAAATTGTGGAATCTTTGAACCTCAACTCCCTCACCTGTAAATCCAATGAAAGATTAAAAAAAACAAAAACAATTAAAGTTATTGAACCCAACATTTGAATTCATGAAATTGATCCAATGTATTAAATGCTTTGATTCATCTAACTACAAGCAAAACACTTAAATCAAGAATAGCACCAACAAACGAATCAAAAGATGAGCAATCGGTCAACATCAAATCTCAACCGAAACAACGATTTTGCGGTCCTGTAAGCCAAACAAAAAATTCAAAGCTATTGTTCCATGCCACAAAATTAAAAAAAAATCCACTCTGTTTTCAAAAATTTGCATAAAATATATCAGCTACCAAACTGGAATCCGAAACTACAAAAAACTTTCAACACCCAATAACACAAGTCCTCAGTCATACTATAAAATTTCGTCAATGATTCGTAAATATAAATCAAAATCCTCTACATGAAATTTAAATAATAACGTTTCAAAAATGCCTAATTCTTTGACATCTCTCCATAGATTTTTAGCTAAATGTTGGGTATCATGCAAAATCCCAGTTTGTTGGAAAAAATGGGTTTGCTATTCTCATATACAAAAGACGAGATGTCTACGATCATTTTGACTTCAGGCCCATTACTTTGCAGCCAACACTATACAAAATATTTTTATTTTTGATCAACAATAAAATTTTCAATTTCTTAAAAAAAAACAATCAACCTAATTATTCAGGAGATTTACCTAAAAATTGATGGCTTGACAGAACATAATCACATACTTAGAATACCTATTTTATGTATATGGTAAAACCAAAACATTTTAATAATCAACTGTTTGAATATTTTTAAAAAATTTAGAAAATTTTATTAAAAAATTACTGTTTTTACAATTTACACCAACAAAATAAAGAATGCGTTTTTTTGCAGTAAAATAGAGCAGAAAAAATTGTAATTTTTTTATTATCTAAATATGTAAGTTGTTTTCTACAGGCTGATTGGTTCTTCACGATTTTCAAATATAATTCTCTAAAGTTAGAAATTTTGAATAACTTTCTTACAATTTAAATTATCTAAACATTATGCAGAAAACAAAGAACAAGAATTTTTAAGTTTTTTATAACATAAACGTAATATAATAAAGTTCTAAATAAAAAAATTTAAACGCGAATGAAATATAATACCATCTACAAAAAGATATTTCAACAGGACATTGGACAAGTTTTTTTATTCTGTTAAAAAAACAAATTGATAGAATAGAGAAATTTGTTGATTTTTCTAGAATGTTCTCTTTGCTGTTAACTATAAACAAACGTTGCCTGTAACATCAAAAGGGACACGTGCAGATAAAATCAAAACATGTTAAAAAATCTTTAATTCTATGGCTCCAACCTCTAAAATAATTTAAAAGCAAAAGAATTTTTTGAAATCGGTTGCCGAAATATCTTGGAGTAGATTGTCGTGTAGTGCAACATTCAAAATTATGTTTCCATCAAATGAAAATAAAATAGGTGAAATATTACAGCTTTGGCTTTCGACGGCTTTCACAACGCTTCAGCCACTGAAATCAATAATTTTCTGATGCTTTGTTCCTTTGCACCAAATTATGCCTTGCCTTATCGCTTCCAGTGCGCAAATACATGATCAGTAACTCGGAGGCCAATGCCAAATTTTTCTGTCGGGGCGTAAAAAGCACATGAAACACCTGTCTGCTGATGCAAATGTGAAGATAAAAGAATGGTCCACGTATTTTGTCATTATTTCGACCGAATGGCTTTGTATCACCAGTTCTGGGTATTTGGTCAAGTTCAACAACCTGCATAGCTTAGTGTTTGTAGTCGCTACCTTTTTGAGCCAAGTTGGCTGAAACGGGTAAGCGACCTGTTTTATTTTAGAACATAGAGTTATCAGGATGTCTAATATCTTAAAGAGCATTGAATTGACTCGACTTCTTTTTCAATTCTATTTTTTACAAGGGCAAACTAGGGTGGTACAAAATGATCATCATAGTGTTGACCTTGACAGCTAGTTTGGCCAACGTGCACTTCCTGCGGAGATCAAGTAGTGGTTCTTTTGTTTATAAAGCAGTATAATCGTTTTCTTCTTTTAGTTCTTTTTACTGCGTTCGTTTGATTTTTTGCACTAAACGTGGTTCAGTATGCATTGATGTCTCCGAGAACAATTGCTCGTTTGACAGGATCTTATGGAATCTTTTGCTTCTGGTTCTAATCTATTTGAAAAAAACATACACTTTGATACCTATTATCGAACTTGCTGTTTTTATTGAAAAACTAACCGTGAGAGACTTAATGCCATGGGGGTCGAGCAAAACAAGATACCCAGGCTTTCTCTATTTAATGTTGCACATACTTTTTTGTGTCTTTTTCTCAGTTATAAAGCTGGTGAAAACTGGTTTGTTTATTTTCCAAAAGATTTGTGCAGACAAATAACGTCTGGAAGTTTCCCAGATTTATTTAAAAATTTTGCAAGTTCATCTTTTTTGAGAATTGAATCTATAGTCGTTCCATTGTAGAATTCATACAAATGTCATTAATTGTTTCTACGAATGTCTGCGCCAGGACTTTATGGGTGGCTGCGCTATGGCAAGTTTCAACCCACTGGGCCGGTTCTTTTTTTTGTGTGCCTCTAATTCCATTTTTTCCCTCGTGACATCGAAGGTTCCACTGTGGCTTGATTTGCGTCGCGTCCGCCTATTTTGGTTGTCTTCTTTGGTTATCGGCTTATGTTTTTGTTTATTAGTCTTTTTTTGCGTTTAGAATTTTTGCGTTTTCGGGTGATGCATATTTGACTTTTTAATATTTTCATTGACCGATCTTGCTTGTTTTTCACAAAGAGATTATCTTTTTAATTTTTAACAGAGCGTCGCGGTTTTCTATGGCAGTAATTTTATCTACCTCTACTTGTATCTTCTGCTTCACGCATAGCTTGTTGTTTGCTGCGTATGATAGTTGCCTGCAGTATGAACATTTTCTTTTAACACCTACAATACAAACTTATACAAACTTTGTGTGAAACTTTATTGTGGTAGCCGTTCCCATTGCATTTGAAGCATCGGAATGTTTTTTGATGTTTGATTTTAATGTGAAATTTTAAACAGCTTGTATATACGTGTTTAGGTAGGTCATTGATTTTGTAATTTAACGTGATGGACGTCGTTTGCACGAGGCCGTCGATTTTTGAACCGGTTTAGCAGAGACATTTTTTTTCTTATGTTCACGTCTGCGGTGACGGTCGTTATTAACATTCTTTTCTTTTCGACCGTTTGGTATGCTGCCGCTGCATATTTTGTCCTTGCTTGTTTTTCTGCATTTTGCCAGTTCGATAAAAGTACCACCTACCTCCTACCCCTATTATGTATTGGAGGAGGATGACATATATAGATTCTCTTTGAGCTGAGATAATTCAATATTTGACTTTTTTCCACCCTATCGCTCAATGCCTTTTTCTTCTTCTGTAAGGTGACAAATTTAGTGATCCTGATCCATGATCCCCTATTGCACTCTCACATATGTTTTATGGAGGCTGGTAGATAAAGTTTTATTATGTCAACTCTCACAATTTAGAATTCATTACCGTTTGAAGTTCGTTCGGCTTCATCAGTTGCCGTGTATAGAGATGAACTGAATATGTTTTTTATTTGATGTATCCTATGCGTCTTTTGAAAAACAAAAAAGAGAAAATACTATTACTAATACTTGTAGAATTTTGTGATGCTGTTGGAGATTTGATTATTCTGACTGATGTTCAAGATGTTGCATTAGAGATTTCTTCATGTTTGAAACTCAGAACGGTCATTCTCTGTCAGCTTGAACCATGCTCACCGCCGTATTTTTTAAATTTGCAAGATTAAGTACCCCATCGAAATTCATCGATAAAATAAAATTTTTATGGAAAAATTTCACTTATTTCTGAAAAATAATTTTTCAAGTAATGACGATTTTTTGAAAAAGCGCCAAACAATCATAATAAAAATAATAATAATAATAATTCATCATATTTTGAGCGATGTTTTTTCACAACTCTTAGAACGCAATATCTCAAGCTAGCCAATATATCACTGTTTGTTTTGTGCAGATTTCCGGCGTTTCAGCACAAATTGGCTATTTTTGCGACTTGTCTTCTCTTAATTTTCTTTCTTCTTAATATGGCTGTACCTGTTGTTTCATTCACAATCTGTCAATCAATTTTGTATTCATGATAAAAGCCATTAAACTGTATGTATTTGAATTATTGATGAAAATTTCTTCCATGTTTGTTGGTATATTATGTTATATTCTTTTTTTGTTATATTTTTTGCATTCTGTGATTATATGGAAAATTGTTAGTTTCATTCCACAGATGTCACAAATTGAAAGTGTTTTTCTCTCAAGGATCTATGAGTGTGT